TCACAGCAACCTCCAACTCCTGGGCTCAAGTGATTCTCCTGCCTCCGCTTCTCAAGTAGCTGGGACTGCAGGCACCCGCCACAATGCCCAGCTATATTTGGTTGCAGCCATTGTTGTTGTTTGACAGGCCCAGCTCAGGTGTATGTGGCTGGCACCTTAGCCGCTTGAGCTACAGGTGCTGAGCCTAGAAGTAATTTTAATATCTATTCCCTCAGATTCAGCAAGAAATTATCTCACAGGTACTTGAGAGGCAGAGGCAGGAGAATCACTTGAGCCTAGGAGTTGGAGGTTGCTGTGAGCTGCGATGGCACAGCACTCTACCTAGGGCAACAGCTTGAGGCTCTGTCTCAAAAAAACAAAACAATGACTTCTAAATTGTCTTTCAAATCTGAGATTTTGTAATTATGAGATCTGGCCCTATTACATGTTGAATTTTGGCTGAATGTTGACTTGAGTCTGCAATCACCCATCTAGATCCAAACTTTCTTCATTGGGTCTCAGATCTTTACTCCAATCTTATTCCTCAACTGCAATTATCTGTCAAAAATTCTTTAGTGCCATAAGGGTCCCCTTCAGTAATTACCCAAATCCCTTTTCCTACCCCAAATGTCTTCTGTCTCAACCTTTGTCACCACTCAAACTCGTCAGACTCTAGTTCCTGCCTGTGCTTTCTGCCCTAACAGAGCATGGTTGTAGGTTGTGTATTATTTTATAGTTCATCATGTTAATTGTTTGGTTCTTATTTCTGAACTCTCAGTTTCTCTGCAGGATTGGGTATCACTCACTATGTCCTCTTTCCTGGCCTGACTCTGGTGGTTGCTCACCATCCTGGTCTTTTCTGATGGCTTCTCACCATCTCTTCTTTTTGGTTTGCAAACACACACCTGCCCTAGAACTGTCTGGCCCCTTTGTTTATCTAAGTTCTCTCCTCCAGCAGCACCATCTGTCCTCCAGGATTCAATGATTACATCGTCAGAACACTTCCCAAATCTCTATGTCCAATCCTTCTCTTATTCCCCAGACCACCTTTCATGGGAACGTTCATCTGAAAAACTTCTGACATCTTCATTTAAGAGGAAGATTAAAACTGAGATAATTACTGATCCCCCTCAAACTTTCTACACTTGAGTTCCCTCACCCCATCCCAAGGACAACCTTGAGCTCTTTTCTCACCATACTTAAGGCAGCTCAACAGCTAAGGCAGCGGTTACACACACGGGGGCTGGTGGGCTTGAACTGGCCCGGACCTACCAAATAACAATGACAACTATAACAACAAAAAAATAGCTGGGGGCAGCGCCTGTGGCTCAGTGGGTAGGGCGTAGGTCCCATATACTGAGGGTGGCAGATTCATACCCAGCCCCGGCAACAAAAAAAAAATCTGGGCATTGTGGCAGGCGCCTGTAGTCTCAGCTATTCTGGAGGCCTAAGCCCAAGAGCTACCAAGGGTGACATAGTAAGACTCTGTCTCAACAAACAAACAAAAAAAGAAATTTTAGTTCTGTCACTCAATCAACGGTTATTTCTGCCTGTGATGTAATTAATTGAGTAAACTACAGGCAGTCCCAAAGTTACAAACATCTAACTGACATACAACTCACACTTAGGCACAGAGGCTATTATCAGTAATAGGTGAAGGTACCTTTTCCAACTTACATACAAATTCAACCAGGGAACAAACCTACAGAACTTATGTTGTTCATAACCTGGGGACTCCTTGTACCTTAAAAAGGTTGGAAGTCAGGGACTATATTTTAGGGGTCTTTTTCCTTAAGTAATCATATCAATTTTCTTTTAAACTTTTCTGGTGGGGACACTTTTTCGACTTTTTATGTGTCTTTAAACAAATCTCCTATATTACAGAATCCAGAGCAATGACTTTGGCACTCAATAAATGTTAATAAAATCTATTTAGGCTGAGCACAGTGGGTTATGCCTATAATCTTAGCACTTTGGGGCCAAGATGAGAGTATCAATTCGGGTCAGGAGTTCAAGACCAGCCTGAACAAGAGAAATACCCTCCATCTCTACAAAAAAACAGAAAAATTAGCTGGGCATGGTGGCACATGCCTGTAGTGCCAGCTACTTGAGAGGCTGGGGCAGGAGGATTGCTGGGTTCTGGGAGTTGAGGCTGCAGTGAGCTATGATGAGAACTCAGTACTCTATTGGCAGAGATAGAGCAAGACCCCATCTCAAAAAAAATAAAAATCTAAGGCTGGGCGTGGTGGCTTATGCCTGTAATCCCAGCACTTGAGAGACTGAGGTGGGTGGATCGCTTGAGCTCACAGGTTAGAGACCAGCCTGATCCAAAGTGAGACCTCGTGTCTAAAAATAGTAGGGCAGGGTGGTGGCTGTGGCTCAAAGGAGTAGGGCGCTGGCCCCATATACCGGAGGTGGTGGTTCAAACCCAGCCCCGGCCAAAAACTGCAAAAAAAAAAAAAAAAATCAAAAATAAAAATAGTAGGTCATTGTGGTGGCCACCTGTAGTCCCATCTATTTGGGAGGCTGAGGCAAGAGAATCACTTAAGCCCAAGAGTTTGAGGTTGCTGTCAGCTGTGATGCCACGGCACTCTGCCAAGGGCAACAAAGTGAGACTCTGTCTCAAAAATAAATAAATAAAAATATATTTAACAAATTTTAAGAGGCCACCTACCTAAGAAAGAGGCACTCTTGTAGAAGATGGAATATAGTTCCTGTTGTCACAATTCTTGTAGTAGGAAACATACATATATTCATATATTTTTCCAACAATCAGATTGTGACAAATCTGGAGGAAATATGGAGATACAATAAAGCAGGAAGTAGGCTGATGGGAGGGGAAGTAAGTAATGAGTTATTATTTTAAATGGGGTGATCAGGAAAGGCTTCCCTGAGAGAATATTGAGCAAATATCTGAAAGAGATATTTGACTATATGAGGAGAAAACTTTTTTTTTTCTGTAATCCTAGCACTCTGGGAAGCTGAGGTGGGTGGATAGCCTGAGCTCAGGAGTTTAAGACCAGCCTGAGCAAGAGTGATACCCCGTCTCTTAAAAAATATCCTGGCATTGTGGCGGGTGCCTGTTGTCTCAGCTACCAGGGAGGCTGAGGCAAGAGAATTACTTTGAGCCCAAGAGTTTGAGGTTGCTATGAGGTATGACCACGGCACTCTACCAAGGGTGACAAAGTGAGACTAT